CTGACACAGCTGTTGCAGGCCGTACTGGCAACATCTACAATGACTATGTTGTGTCCCATTATTAGGAAAATTTTAAGAGATGCCATAACAACAGACTCTCTGCTCAGAATATTTAGCGCACAGAGTGCAGTGACACAAGCTTGTCCTATGATAATAAAAACCAAGAAGGAAGTAACCCGGAAAAGGACTAGTTACCTGAAGTCTTATGAAGGTGGAATCCCCTCAGAATAAAAGTACACCTCCATCCTCTCCCATCTCATCACTCATCAATAAGTCTTCAATAAAGGTATGTGTCATTTTAGTATTGTTTATTCTGCATGTCTCATTGTTTTCTGTGTAGGGAAATGTATATTTCATGTAAAAAAATTATTTTGTTTAATACTTTTGGGTGTCTGGAATGGATTAATTGGATTTCCATTATTTCTTATGGGGAAAATTAATTTGGATTAAGTCACATTCGGCATAAGACACGCTCTCCGGAACGGATTACCTACGTTAACCGGGGTCCACTGTATTCTTAAAGCTGGGAATACTGTCAATGTTCCCAAGCAGAGAATATTCTTCAGACCAGGAATTTTTTTTATTTTTTTTTTTTATTATCACACCGGCCGATTCCCACCAAGGCAGGGTGGCCCGAAAAAGAAAAACTTTCACCATCATTCACTCCATCACTGTCTTGCCAGAAGGGTGCTTTACACTACAGTTTTTAAACTGCAACATTAACACCCCTCCTTCAGAGTGCAGGCACTGTACTTCCCATCTCCAGGACTCAAGTCCGGCCTGCCGGTTTCCCTGAATCCCTTCATAAATGTTACTTTGCTCACACTCCAACAGCACGTCAAGTATTAAAAACCATTTGTCTCCATTCACTCCTATCAAACACGCTCACGCATGCCTGCTGGAAGTCCAAGCCCCTCGCACACAAAAACCTCCTTTACCCCCCTCCCTCCAACCCTTCCTAGGCCGACCCTACCCCGCCTTCCTTCCACTACAGACTGATACACTCTTGAAGTCATTCTGTTTCGCTCCATTCTCTCTACATGTCCGAACCACCTCAACAACCCTTCCTCAGCCCTCTGGACAACAGTTTTGGTAATCCCGCACCTCCTCCTAACTTCCAAACTACGAATTCTCTGCATTATATTCACACCACACATTGCCCTCAGACATGACATCTCCACTGCCTCCAGCCTTCTCCTCGCTGCAACATTCATCACCCACGCTTCACACCCATATAAGAGCGTTGGTAAAACTATACTCTCATACATTCCCCTCTTTGCCTCCAAGGACAAAGTTCTTTGTTTCCACAGACTCCTAAGTGCACCACTCACTCTTTTTCCCTCATCAATTCTATGATTCACCTCATCTTTCATAGACCCATCCGCTGACACGTCCCTCCCAAATATTCTGAATACGTTCACCTCCTCCATACTCTCTCCCTCCAATCTGATATTCAATCTTTCATCACCTAATCTTTTGTTATCCTCATAACCTTACTCTTTCCTGTATTCACCTTTAATTTTCTTCTTTTGCACACCCTACAAATTCATCCACCAATCTCTGCAACTTCTCTTCAGAATCTCCCAAGAGCACAGTGTCATCAGCAAAGAGCAGCTGTGACAACTCCCACTTGTGTGTGATTCTTTATCTTTTAACTCCACGCCTCTTGCCAAAACCCTCGCATTTACTTCTCTTACAACCCCAATCTATAAATATATTAAACAACCACGGTGACATCACACATCCTTGTCTAAGGCCTACTTTTACTGGGAAAAAATTTCCCTCTTTCCTACATACTCTAACTTGAGCCTCACTATCCTCGTAAAAACTCTTCACTGCTTTCAGTAACCTACCTCCTACACCATACACTTGCAACATCTGCCACATTGCCCCCCTATCCACCCTGTCATAACGCCTTTTCCAAATCCATAAATGCCACAAAGACCTCTTTAGCCTTATCTAAATACTGTTCACTATATGTTTCACTGTAAACACCTGGTCCACACACCCCTACCTTTCCTAAAGCCTCCTTGTTCATCTGCTATCCTATTCTCCGTCTTACTCTTAATTCTTTCAATTATAACTCTACCATACACTTTACCAGGTACACTCAACAGACATCCCCTATAATTTTTGCACTCTCTTTTATCCCTTTGCCTTTATACAAAGGAACTATGCATGCTCTCTGCCAATCCCTAGGTACCTTACCCTCTTCCATACATTTATTAAATAATTGCACCAACCACTCCAAAACTATATCCCCACCTGCTTTTAAACATTTCTATCTTTATCCCATCAATCCCGGCTGCCTTACCCCCTTTCATTTTACCTACTGCCTCACGAACTTCCCCCACACTCACAACTGGCTCTTCCTCACTCCTACAAGATGTTATTCCTCCTTGCCCTATACACGAAATCACAGCTTCCCTATCTTCATCAACATTTAACAATTCCTCAAAATATTCCTTCCATCTTCCCAATACCTCTAACTCTCCATTTAATAACTCTCCTCTCCTATTTTTAACTGACAAATCCATTTGTTCTCTAGGCTTTCTTAACTTGTTAATCTCACTCCAAAACTTTTTCTTATTTTCAACAAAATTTGTTGATAACATCTCACCCACTCTCTCATTTGCTCTCTTTTTACATTGCTTCACCACTCTCTTACTTCTCTCTTTTTCTCCATATACTCTTCCCTCCTTTGCATCACTTCTACTTTGTAAAAACTTCTCATATGCTAACTTTTCTCCCTTACTACTCTCTTTACATCATCATTCCACCAATCGCTCTCTTCCCTCCTGCACCCACTTTCCTGTAACCACAACTTCTGCTGAACACTCTAACACTACATTTTTAAACCTACCCCATACCTCTTCGACCCCATTGCCTATGCTCTCATTAGCCATCTATCCTCCAATAGCTGTTTATATCTTACCCTAACTGCTCCTCTTTAGTTTATAAACCTTCACCTCTCTCTTCCTGATGCTTCTATTCTCCTTGTATCCCATCTACCTTTTACTCTCAGTATAGCTACAAACTAGAAAGTGATCTGATATATCTGTGGCCCTCTATAAACATGTTACATCCTGAAGTCTACTCAACAGTCTTTTATCTACCAATACATAATCCAACAAACTACTGTCATTTCGCCCTACATCATATCGTGTATACTTATTTATCCTCTTTTTCTTAAAAATATGTATTACCTATAACTAAACCCCTTTCTATACAAAGTTCAATCAAAGGGCTCCCATTATCATTTACACCTGGCACCCCAAACTTACCTACCACACCTCTCTAAAAGTTTCTCCTACTTTAGCATTCAAGTCCCCTACCACAATTACTCTCTCACTTGGTTCAAAGGCTCCTATACATTCACTTAACATCTCCCAAAATCTCTCTCTCTCCTCTGCATTCCTCTCTTCTCCAGGTGCATACACGCTTATTATGACCCACTTCTCGCATCCAACCTTTACTTTAATCCACATAATTCTTGAATTTACACATTCATATTCTCTTTTCTCCTTCCATAACTGATCATTTAACATTACTGCTACCAGGAATATTGCCACTTTTGCCAATGACAGAATATTCTTCAGGCCAGGTTACTACACAAATGGAGGCACACCATGGTTATTCCGAGCACTTCCTCCATTTATAACACACAATTTGCAGATGTATGTTTAACTCAACAGCTGTCTCCCACCAAGGCAGGGTGACTCAAAGAAGAAAACACGGTCACCATCATTCACTGAATAACCATTTTTCAGAAGTGTGCTGACATAACAATTAGACTACCCTCTGACTGCAAAAATTCCTACCCCTTCTGTGGAGTACAGCACAGCCTCTCCTCACTTAGCGGCGTACTCGTTTAACAACGACTCGGACTTACGACAGGCTCTTTGACCAGTATTCATAATGTATGTAAGAGCTGATTTCCTCTATTCTGTTTATTACAATATACAGTACACTACTGTATAAACATTTACAAATATACTAGAAATGCTATAAATGGTGCAAAGGTGACATTAAAACAATGTCAAAGATGGTTAACACAAACCCACTACCATTATAGTATGTTCCTCACTTGCCAATGAATTCATTTACTGACGAGTCTTAGGAACAGAACTCCGTCGTTAAGTGAGGAGAGGCTGTATATGCATTGGCAAATGATTCAAAGTTTTCAGCTACTATGCAATGTATTCACTTCATTATTCTCCCATTCTGACCCTTACTTTTATTCATCTAATTAATCTGAACTTCCTTTTTTCACACAAACAGTAATTCCTAACTCTTCTACCAACCACTTCAGACTCTCAACAACAATAATCACAAGTGCAGACTTCAATCATAACAACTTACATTTAATTTATACAAATTGGTATTTTTGAGGATTACACTTTTTCCTCTAATCTAGCATTTACATCTTTTATACTGTATGATTATTATAATTACATTTATGGGGGTCTCCATGGGGAAGCAGAAAAGAATTCTTCCTCGGTAAGTCATGCGAGTCGTAAGAGGCAACTAAAATGCGGTGAGCAATGGGCTAGTAACCCCTTCTTCTGTATAAATTACTAAATTTAAGTCACCCTGCCTCAGTGGGATATGACCAGTGTTGGAAAAAAAAAAATGGGGGTGGAATGCAAAACCAGTAGTGTTCATACAACACACAATAAATGGAAAGGCATTTAGGTTCAATCCACAGAAGGGAAACACCAGTCCAATTCCCTAAATCAAAAGCTCCTCACCAGCATCAAGGCGAGGTCAACATTTTAGTTATTAAGAAACTCCTCACCTTCGGTTGCATTACCAATGCATAAAAGAAAAAAAGCATCTACCACAGTAAAGAGCAATCATCCTATCCACTTTTGTCTTCCAATACTTCCATGGACAATTATAGTAAACAAACCATACCACGGGCGGGGATAGAACTCGTGTCATTACAATCTACTCGTACCTGTCAATCTGTATCATCTCAGTGATAAGTAAAATGTATGTAGCTTGTTTGTTCATGTTTATTCATACAATTAAAGCATGATGCAATGAAACAAAAATTATTAAAGGTTGCTGCCTGGGATATGTATTACTTCCTTATGCTGTAAGAGGAGAGTTGGCAGGCATTAAGTACAGATTTTATTGTAATGCAATTTTGTCATTTATTCTCAGCAGTGTTGTAATTTCCAAACAGGCAGTGAACGAAGTTTAGCATTAAACCTTCAGTTACTCTGCTTGTAAGCCTGAATATCATCAAAACTTAACTCTCAAATTTTACACAAGAAAACTATTTAATTAAAATCAAAGTAAATGTTCACTGCATATAATAGGTTCTAAGGGTCCTTTTTCTTATTATTATTCATGTAAAGTGCTAAAGCCAATATGGAGTTTTTATGTGATATGAGAGTATATCTCATTTACACAAATAACTTGAGTCATATTATGACTATCTTGTACATTTCCAGTGATGAACACACGACATGCAAGTTGTGAATTAGGTCATTTTCTGTACTAATTAAAAAAAAAAGGTTGAATACAAAAGGACAAGTAGAAATCTATCTTGGATTAAATCATGCCTATATTTAATACAAGGATACAGTATATGCCATTGTATTTTTAGCTCCAACATCACTGCTGAAAGTGGTAATGCAGTTTTGAAGCAATAAATACAACTCTCATCCACCTAGTCTTACCACTTGCATTCAATTATGTACACCATGTTGACAGGTTGCAAGGCCAGATTATACACCACAACAAACTTTTAAACACTTCTTTAAAACCATACATAAATATATTCAATATTAGAAGTTAACAAAATTTTTTGCATACATCTGACATATTCAGAAACTTCCAAAACAAAAATACACACAAAAATATGGTACATGAACAAGATCACTTGTCCATACTATGATCATTTTTTATGTATAAATTTTTAATCTCACTTCCAGCATTAATATAACAACATTTCAATATAAATTGACCAGTTCTTAATTACCATTAAAGTGAACATTGTTTATAAATATCTATTAAAAAATATGGCTTGCACACAATGAAAACCTCTTAAGAGATATATTTGTTTACCCTTCTATGTGGCCTACAAAAGTGCCATTCCACCATGTGAAAACTCCATTTGGATAGCAGGTTCTTGGAAAGCCAGCCAGTCTGATGCATGGGTTGGCAGGATGCCCATACTGTGACATTTGTATACTGCTAAACCAACATTTACTAAGTTACCCAACAGATAGATGAGTTTCTGTAAAAAAAAAAAAAAAGAAAGAAATAGGAGTAATAGTTTTCTTATGGATTTAGTAATATTTAATATATCTAAAGTGCACTAGCAGCAATGCTGAAAATTACAGTAGAACCTCGGTTGTCAAACTTAATTCATTCCAGATGTCGGTTCAACAACCAAAATGGACAACAACCAAAGCAATTTTTCCTATGAAGAATGATGTAAATAGAATTAATCTGTTCCAGACCCCCAATTTATTAAGAATGTACTATTACATAAAATTGCAAAAATGAATACTAAAAGAAACTTTAACTGAAATATTGTACAGTAAATGAAAATTTAACTGCCTCTTACCTGTCAGAGGAGAGCTAATGGCATACTGGAAGCAAAAGGTGGAGAGGAGGGGGTATTTTACTGCTTCGAGGGAGAGCACCTTCTATTAATATGTCAAGCAACTGTCCTTCTGGTGTTGTTTCTCTTCTTTGTCTCTTTTTCACTACTAACACCTTGTTCTGGCTCATTGGTTCTTTGTCTCACTAAAAACCTGTCCAGTGAGGTTTGTTTCAAGCTCCATTTTAATACTTGTCTAAATTGAGACATTATACTGTCACTGTACATGTTAGAAAGAAGGATGGCCACTGCTTTGTCTGGATGGTATTTTTCGGAAAACTCCTGCACTTCACGCCATTTAGCATACATTTCCTTGACAACTGCAATGGACACATCATCCCTTTCCTCCTCTTTCTAACGACTGCTCCTCCGCTGCAATCTGTTGCTAGTCCTTCTGGAGGTCTACAAGTTCTTCTGTGGTGAGTTCAGTTCTATGCTCCTCCACCAACTCTTCCACATCATCTTCAGTCACCTCTAGGCCCAAAGTCTTTCCCAGGGACACAATATCCTCTACTGACTCGGGCTCATCTTCAAAGCCTTCAAAATCCCTGGCTGCCACAAAGTCAGGCCACAATTTCTTCTATGCTGACTGCATGGTTCTGGAAGACACATTCCCCCAAGCTTTATCTATAAGCCTCAAGCAGGTGAGGATATTGAAATGGTCCTTCCAGAACTCCCTGGGGTTAAATTTGTTTCCAAAATGATTTCAAAGCACCTCTCAAAAAATGCTTTCGTATAGAGTTTCTTGAAGCTAGAAATGATCTGCTGGGCCATGGGCTGGATGAGAGGAGTGGTGTTAGGAGGCAAGAACTTCACAGTTATAAAACTGAACTCCTCCAGCAACTCTTTTTTTCAAGCTTGGAGGGTGAGCAGGAGCATTATCCATAAGTAAAATTGTCCTGAGTGGCAAATGTTTTTTAATGAGGTACTTTTTGACAGTGGGAGCAAAGACCCACTCAATAAAAAATTGTCTTGTTACCCAAGCTTTTATGTTGGCCTTCCACATTACAGCCCATTTGTTTTTCACAACATTGTTCTTAAAAACTCATGGATTTTCATAATGATAAACAAGGGTGGGCTTCAATTTCAAGTCCCCACTTGCTTTACCACACAATAATTCATTCTAGAGTATTTATCATGTTTCTATGTTATTAATATTGTTTATTATGTCATTAGATGAATTGTGATAGATAAATAAGCTATGGAATATAGTCCTTCTCTATAAAATGTATTTTTCGTTTATACTTTTGGATGTTCTCCATGGGGAAGTAGAACAGAATTCTTCTTCAGTAAGCCATGCGTGTCGTAAGAGGTGACTAAAATGCCGGGAGCAAGGGGCTAGTAACCCCTTCTCCTGTATATATTACTAAATATAAAATATAAATACAGTGGACCCCCGGTTAACGATATTTTTTCACTCCAGAAGTATGTTCAGGTGCCAGTACTGACCGAATTTGTTCCCATAAGGAATATTGTGAAGTAGATTAGTCCATTTCAGACCTCCAAACATACACGTACAAACGCACTTACATAAATACACTTACATAATTGGTCGCATTCGGAGGTGATCGTTATGCGGGGGTCCACTGTATATTACTAAATATAAAAGGTAACCCAAAAGGAGAAACTTTCATTTCTCCTTTTGGGTCACCCCGCCTTGGTGAGATACGGCCGGTGTGTTGAAAGAAAAAAGACTTTTGGATGTCTTATATGGATTAACTGGATTTACATTATTTCTTATGGGGAAAATGGTTTCAGTTTTCATCGATTTCGCATTTCGTTGGACTCCCTAGAATGAATTAAAAATGAAAAGGAAGGGTCCACTGTAGGTATAGAACGGAACAACAGATAATAGGGTGTCTAATGAAAGTTATCTGGTGTGTCTTAGCAACAAAAACACTTAATCCATGAAGAGTGGCCCAGTTGGAAGCAAGATCATAGCATTTTGGATAGAGGTTACTACAAGGCAACAATCAGCACCTACACAAGCTATAGCAAAATTATCAACAAAGATGACCACACAGAGGTAAGATCATATATGGAAGGCAGGAAAAGGGTAGTGCCTTCAAACTGAATAAAACCAGGGAAAAGCTATTATTTACCTAAACATAAAAGTGCCTCTTTGATATGAAATCTTGAAGAAATAGCAGTAGACTGCCTCTAAGGCCCATGGAATAGGCTTGGGCCAAGATGTTGTAATGCAAAGTAGTCAAACTTTTTCAAGATCAAAAAAAAAAAAGACTGCAAAAATCTGATTATTAGCAGAGGCAGTGAGAACATATGCATCCAAGCAGAACAAGGGATCAATGGTAGAATGGCACTTACAAAAAAATAAACTGATGACAGGAGATAGGATTTTGGGTTTCCAAGTACCATAATAAATGTCTGCTAACCAAGCATTCCAGAGACTTAAAAATTTCACCAGTAAGAGTGATGGGTATGTAGTGAGAGGTGTCTTGACCCTAAGCACCTGGCTTACAAAAAGGAAGCATAACATTGAAGGGGCAGAACCCCCTGGGACAAAACAAGAATGAAAAGATGTAAGAGTACAATGAGTGCCATAGGTTGTAAGTGTTAAGCATATGGACCAGCTGCTGTTGGTTGGGACATAGACAGTGTGAAGGGCATGTTTTAAGGCTGCTCAGTGTGAGAAGTAAAATCTAGAACTGTCAACTCCTTCCTGGATTTGGAGGAAAGAAATAAGGGGAAGAGATGTAGCTACTGGGATACACAAACAAAGCAATGCCCAAGCATTGTGGCAACAAGTATGTTTTCACCACCCAAATAATACAATGAGCAAGCACTCTCACCTCCTTAAAAGTTACCCAATGCAGTGCATTTCAAATCAATACTGCAGCAAAAACAGGGGGTAAAAAAGTTGCAACAACTAATCAGAAGACAATGTAGTAGGAAAAACATCAAGAAAAAGAGGTATGCTGTGCATAAAGCACCAAATCTGCTCAGTCAACCTGACAACAGGAGCAACGAGAGGGTCAGGTGTAAGAATGAGAAGAAATGGAAAGAGAAAAATGACTGCTATAGAAGAAGAACATGTAGAGATATTATTAACACATTGGCCATTTCCCACCAAAGCAGGGTAGCCCAAAAAAGAAAAACTTTCATCATCATTCACTCCATCACTGTCTTGCCAGAGGCATGCTCACAGTAGTTATAAAACTGTAACACTAATACCCCTCCTTCAGAGTGCAGGCACTGTACTTCCCATCTCCAGAACTCAAGTCCTGCCCACCAGTTTCCTTGAATCCCTTACTTTTTAACAAGTCACTAGAAACTAGCACTTTCCTGACACTACTCAAGACAGCAAGGGTTACACCAATACATAAAGGTGGTGACTCTACAGACGTAAACAACTATAGGCCAATATCAAACTTACCATTGCTATCCAAAATCTTCGAGAAACTCGTGCACAGGAGACTATATTCATTTATAACGTCACAAAACATACTCAACCCCTGCCAATTTGGATTCAGGAAAATTAAAAGCACTAATGATGCAGTTATAAAAATGCTAGACCTGCTTTACACAGCACTGGAAAATAAGGAATATCCACTAGGAATTTTTATTGACCTAAGAAAAGCGTTTGACACAGTAGACCACGGCATCCTACTCCACAAACCTGACCACTATTGTATAAGAGGCCATGCGCTTGCATATTTTAAATTCTACCTTTCTAATAGGTATCAGTATGTCACCATTAAAGGCACAGCCTCATCAATACGGCCACTTGATACTGGAGTTCCGCAGGGAAGTGTCCTTGGACCCCTGCTCTTCCTCATTTACATCAATGATCATCCAAACATATCCCAAAACCTGAAACCCATTCTCTTTGCCGACGACACGACTTATGTCATCTCCCACCCTAATCTTGCCACCCTCAACACCATTGTTAACGAGGAGCTGCTCAAATTATCGACTTGGATGACAGCCAATACACTTACACTTAACACTGGCAAAACCTACTATATTATGTTTGGTAGCAGAGCAGGTGTTGCGCAACTTAACATTAAGATCGACAACACTCTAATTGCCAGACATAATGAGGGCAAATTCCTTGGCCTATACCTCGACAACAACCTAAATTTCAGCACCCATATCCAACACATAACAAAAAAGTATCCAAAACGGTGGGGATCCTCTCCAAGATATGATACTACGTGGCGCAAACTGCCCTTCTCACACTATACCATTCACTTATATGTCCATACCTCACCTATGCTATCTGTGCTTGGGGTTCAACTGCAGCAACACACCTAAGGCCAGTAAGAATAATCACTAAATCCCATCCCTGGCAACACACACCCCACTCTTCATAGATCTAAACTTACTCCCTGTTCAGAACATCCACACTTACTACTGTGCAATCTATATCTACAGGACCTTAAACTCCAATATTAACCTTGACTTAAAACGCTTTCTTGATAGTTGTGACAGGATCCACAGGCATAACACCAGACACAAACATCTCTATGACATTCCTCGTGTTCGACTAAACCTCTACAAAAATTCAATGTATTTCAAAGGACCTAAAATCTGGAACACCCTACCTGAAAACTCTAGAACTGCAGACACATTCATCACTTTCAAAACTACAGTTAGAAAACATCTTATCTCCCTGATACACCCTGACAACTAACTAAATGATAACCACCTGGTGGTTCACAATTACACTCACTCACCCACTGACTATAAACCCAGAAATACTAATCTTAATCTTAAAATAATAAATCCTAACTACTCATAAGTTTGCCTATGATACTCCAATATAGACACTTTGTATTGTGCCGAAACAAAAGCATTCACATTGCTAAACTCACAAATTATGATGTAGTCACTTAGCCTTAATACCATAATCTGTAAGGATTTAATGTTAAGAATTAATCTAAGTCTGCCCAAAATGCCTAGCCATGCTAGGTGTCCTAGTGGCCCCCTCTGTAATTAGTATTTTATAACATGTAAACCACACAATACCCAAAACCTGTAAGCCCCACATTGTAACCCTTATAGAGAATAAACTTGAATTGAATTGAATATTACCCTGCTCACACTCCAACAGCACATCAAGTCCTAAAAACCATGTCTCCATTCTCTATCTAACACGCTCACGCATGCTTGCTGGAAGTCCAAGCCCCTTGCACACAAAACCTCCTTTACCCCCTCCCTCTAAGCTTCTCTAGGCAGACCACTACCCCGCCTTCCCTCCACTACAGATTTATACCCTTGAAGTAATTCTATATCGTTCCATCTTCTCTACATATCTGAACCACCTCAACAACCCCTCCTCAGCCCTCTGGATAGTAGTTTTGGTAATCCCACACCTCCTAATTTCCAATCTATGGATTCTCTGCATTATATTCACACCACACACTGCCCTCATACATGACATCTCCACTACCTCCAGCCTTCTCCTTGTTGCAACATTCACCACCCATGTTTCACACCCATATAAGAGCATTGGTATAACTATACTCTCATACATTCCTCTCTTTGCTTCCATGGATAATGTCCTTTGTCTCTACAAACTCCTCAGTGCA